TAGGCTGGTCTCCAACACCTGGCCTCAATAATCTTTCCACCTGGGCTTTCCAGACTGCTAGGATTACAAGCATTAGCCACCATACCTGGCCCCAAATAATTCCTTTTAATGATTAATTTTACTTTTTCTCCACTTTATTGTTGACTATAAACCTTGGTATTCAACAATAATTTGGCTAAAATAAATCAAGCACTTAATGATTGCTTAATATATGCTTGGCAGTACATATATTAGCTATCAGAGATTCAAAAGAATGAAGGGATACTGCCCTCGAACTCAGAGTTTATAATCTAGTTGCTCAAACAAAACAAAGAAAAAACTTAGGTGGCACAATAAGTAGGAATTTAGACAATCATCAATGGCTAGGCTGGGCGCGGGTGGCTCATGCCTGTAATCCCAGGACTTGGGAGGCAAGGCGAGTGGATTCCCTAAGCTCACAGTTTCGAGACCAGCCTGAGCCAGAGCAAGTCCTTGCCTTTAAAAATAGCCAGGTGTTGTGGCAGGCGCCTGTAGTCCCAGCTACTTGGGAGGTTGCAAGGGAATTGCTTAAGCTCAGGAGTTTGAGGTTGCTGTGAGTTGTGACACCATAGCACTCTACCAAGGGTGACAAAGTGAGACTGTCTCACCAAAAAAAATTATCAATGACTAGAGGAGTCAGGGAAGACATTTCTGAAATAGTATGTATGACTCTGGAGCACCTTGTAGGATAGAGGGATTATAGAGAGAGAAGGCACACTAAGCAAGGGGTATAGTAGACAGCATAAGCAAAAGGCCAGGGTAGAAATGGGTGTGTGGTGTTTAGAGAACATTGAGGAAAAATTCTCTGGCTTGAGGAAATAAGATGATGTGAGTAGAAGTAAGGTTTAGTTGAGCATGGTATGTGCACCTGTAGGCTTGAGTCTGAGTTCAAGGCTGCAGTGAGCAATGACAGGGCCACAGTACTTAGTGTGGGTGACAGAGTGATACCCTGTCTGTAAATAAAATATAGTTAATATAGTTAATATATGAGGACATGAGGAGACACTCATTTTGTTGACTTTTACCTTCCACAGGAAATACAGCCAGAGTTCTAGGCCTCCAGTTCCAGACTATGTTGTTTGTGAAGAAACAAAGGAACTTAGGTAAGATCTCTCTTGCTAAAGTAGTAAACATGAGCCTCATCACAGTGATTCCTGATGGCATCTTAAACATGCTAGAGTTGAGTGTGAGTAATATGACAAGTCTGTTATTCTGAACCAAGTTTCATGTGTATGTAGTTGTTGACAGCCCTGTTACTTTGTTATGATTGCAGGGATGAAAGTAAGCTTCAAGATCAAACTTTCATCACCCAGCAAGTTCCAGTATCAGACCCTTCAGGTGAAATGGTGCTAACCAATATTCCAAAAGGACTGCAAGAGTCGGACATAGTAAGGAGTCTGCGTCTAATCAAATTATGCACATAACTGTTACCCTTCCCCATGCAGCTTCTTTCCAAATCACAGTACTTTTCTCTAGTAGCAAAGACCCCTCAGGTATCAGTGGAATGAGTAATAAAAAGCACTAGTATGAAATTATGGGAATTTTTTTTTTTT